TATATATTTCTTTGAGTAATAAAAATTATTTTTGCTTTGTTTGTTTTTTTTGTTTTTTTTTGCTGAGAAAAATTTGTCCTGATTAATTGCATTCAAAATAAAACTTTGTTTTGACAATTTAATATCATATATTTAATATTAAATTTAATTTAATATCATCAATTTAATATTTCATATATTCAGAATTATTAGCCCAGATTGGATTTTTTTAATATATTTTTATATATTTTTTTTATATATAAAAATAAGGAAATTGTTGTACTGTCAAAAATTTTGTATAAATAAATAAATCAGTTATTAAAAATGAGTTATTAAAACTATTATGTTTAGAAATGTGTTGAAAAAATCTTCTCTCCGTTAAACAGAAATTGGGGAACAAATAAACAGACGGGCTATTAATTCAGGGGGCCTATATATATATATATATATATATATATATATATATATATATATATATATATATATATATATATATATATATATATATATATATATATATATAATATATATATATTTTTATAAAATACTTTATAAAATATTAGTATGAAAATTGTAAAAAATAAATTCTATGCATATGTGTGTTTACCACATATACATAATACGTGATGGGTAACACTATTTTGATGGTCCCTCTTGCACATTTTGTTGACTAAGTGTTGCATTGCATGCCGATTACTTTCATTCAAGTATTAGTAGACTGTCTGCTTAATATCTGTTGATACTGCTCCTTCAACAGACATTTAACTGACTATAAGAAACTTTCCCTTTACATGTTAACTTACACTAACCCCAACCCTAACAGTCTACTTATAATCTAGTGAGAATTACTTGGCATGTGGATGCAATTTAATTTAAATTCAACATTATGCATTAAAGGGACCATCAAAAATCAATGTGATACCAATCTATATAATACAAACATATACATTATTTCAAATTGAACTTTTATTTTTGGAAGTGATTAATTACAATTAATCTTTACCCAGCACAATTATTTTATTTTAGTTTAAGTTAATTAATAACAGAGAAGTATAGTCAGAGATGGACATCCATTGTAGCGTAGCAAAGTTTCTCATGCATTGTTAATCAAGTTTGCCATTTAACGCCTGCAAACAAAAGACATGGATGCCAACAGTTTGACCTGTTTGATTTGAGCAACTAAAATTAGCAACCTGGGATGCTTTATTGCCTGGAAAGTACAATTGTTAGTGAAACACTGTCGTCAGAGGCGTCATGTTTTGTCTATGTTGTTTAAGCTGCAGTAAGCGGTGTGTGTGTGTGTGTTCTTTAGAGCGAAATGTATGGACGGCCTCTTGACCTCAGGGCTTGTGGGAGCAACTGCGGCCTCTGTCTCACACTAATTATGTCACTGCATTAACAACTAGCTGTTATCCAAACCTCTTAACCCCTTCTGAGTTTGTCTGGTGTGCTAGCAGATAATGTCACCTCCTAACACAGACCTCCATGTAGAGATACCAGTGCAGTGTCTGCCGCACAGGAGACAGCCGTACACTCTTCCTCTTAATGCTTGATAAAACTTTGTCTGGGCTTCTCAGGAAGTGGGATATAAGGGGTTGTTGTGCTAGAGATTATGCAGCTGACCGTGTAATAATGTGGAAGCTGCTAAACAGTTAAACATTTGCCATGTTGTCAAAACTGACATTACAACAGTAGGAAGAAAAATGCTGTTGTAACAATACTCCATGGCATGCACAAGTCTATTTAAAGGATTATATTTCATTTGCACTGATGCTGTAAAATCGTACCGTCAAAACTGAAATAGTCACATTAACCTTTCACCAAAAGTTCATCGTTAGGGGAAAAACACTAGCAGTGGATATACCCTATTACAATGACCAGATTATAGAATTACTGTTTCCACTATTTCTTTTTTCCTCTTTTGCACATTTGTAGTAGTCAAAGTAGTAGTCATTGTAGTAGCAATAACAATAAGATTGTTAGTCAGTTCAATACATTTTCATTGAAAATAAAGTTGATTTGACCATTTTTATTGTTCCTATTGTAGCATCAACGTTTACTGTTGACTAGTTGTTTGTAGTGCCTAATCAAACATTGTGCATAGCTATAATTGTGCAAGTAATTATTTTGGAGAAAACCAGGCGTGCTTGCAGAGCTGTTCTAATGATATACTGAGCTATATTAGACTTGTAGCTTGGAAATCTTTTTCAAAATAAAAATGTATTTCATAAAACTTACTATGGGGTGGCATGTTGACTCAGTGGTTAGCACTGTCACCTCACAGCAAGATTGTTGCTGGTTTGAGTCCCAGCTTGGCCAGTTGGCATTTCTGTATGGAGTTGCATGTTCTTTCCATGTTGGCGTGGGTTTCCTCCAGGGGCTCTAGTTTCCTTCACAATCCAAAGACCTGTGCTATAAGTGAATTGGGTAAACAAAATTGGCCATAGTGTATGAATGTGTGTGTGTGTGTGTGTGTGTGTGTGTGTGTGTGTGTGTGTGTGTGTGTGTGTGTGTGTGTGTGTGTGTGTGTGTGTGTGTGTGTGTGAGAGTGTGAATGAGAGTGTATGGGTGCTTCCCTGTACTGGGTTGCTGTTTGTAAAGGCATCTGCTTTGTAAACATATGCCGGAGTAGTTGGCGGTAGGGTTGGGTAGAAAGACGATGCAATCGTCTATCGCCGATGGCAGACAGATATCACGACTGCACCCCCACCGCCTCTATTCTATTTTATGTTTTTAGTTTTATTAATGATATGCTTATTGACTTATACTTACGAGTTTAATTAACTACAATACTTGAAGTCTATAATATGATCTAATTAATAAAAGATAAAAGTGACGTTTTTGGTCATTGTAGATTCCACGCTAATAGGGTCTATGCAAAGCTAGTGTTTTTTCCCCTACAAGTTAACTTTTAGTGAAATCGTTATGAGATTATTTCAATTTCATTCAGTTCAATTTTACAGCATCAATGCTGTAATGTAATTAAAGTATAATCAGTTATGTAGACTTATGCATTTATTTAGTTGTGCAAGTGTAAACCAGATGAAAAGACGATTAAATGCCAGTGCCGTTAGAAGCAGTAGGTGAGTGCAGAGACTCCATTAAAAATACTGTGGTAAAATAAATTTCCATATTTTAAAGACTTTGGGCTCTATTTTAGCGATCTAGACACTAAGTCTAAAGTGGATGGCGCAAACGCAATAAGAGCATGTCCGAATGCACTTTTGCTATTTTAAGGATGGAGAAATATGGTATGCGCCGCGGCACATGGTCTAACAGGGTTGTGCTTATTCTCTTAATGAGTTATGGGTGTGCTTTGAGCATAACTTGCATTAAACCAATCAAAGTCTCATCTCTTATTTCCTTTTAAGAAATATTTACATGCTGGATTTTGTAAGTGGAAAAACTGAATGCCTCACTAGTGAGAAAACAGTTAAACAGACCATCTGCAGCACAAGGGTAAAGAATGAGCCTCCTCCATTCGGCCTCTTTACTATTTTACTACTCTTTACTCCATTACTTTTGTGGATAAGGAAAGGTGTTGTACGCACTACACAGAAGACATCCACTAACCTACACATTTAATGTTGGCTGTTAAACGCAAAGATTTGTTTTAAACCTTTTTCTAAATTCAGTTCTAATTTTCAGCAAACATAAAACATGAAAATTATTGTTGCACTGGTCTGAAAAATAACAACAAATCATGCCAAACACCCTTTGCACCTTATTGCGCCGGGCATATGATAGTGGTGTGGATCAAAGGTATATATTGCAGTGCTTCTTGTACGTTCTGATACCCACTTTATATCATATTAAAATCAGGCAGTGGAGATCATTGATTTTTAAAGGAAACAGACCCTAAATGCTGTGATTTTGTAATGGCATACAGTTCACCAGAAGGGATTGAACCGGGTTACTAAAAAAATGAAAAGTCTTTCTGCATATACTCTATTTAATGAGGGAACAAGTTTTAATAGATTCATGCGTTAAGCCTTTATTTTTCAATGCTAAAAAAGATTTTCTCCCTCATAATCATTATTGAAATTTTATATAGTGTTATATATAGCGCTCAGCATAAATCTCAAGACAAAGACAAATCTGGAGCTAATCTAACAAAATAACTTATAATAACGGTCCAAAAAATACTACACCCACATTAATGTGTTAGGGAAATGTTTTTTGTTTGTTTGTTTCTTGTTTGTTCAATCAAGAGAAATAAACAATTAGAATATTAGTTTATTTATTCTAATTTTAGAACCTTTTGTCATTGTAATATTTACTTTGAGTTTAAATCTATTATATTTCTATTGATAAAAATGTTTGGTGACCAAACTATTCTTTTAAATGATATAACTGTTCATACATGCATCTGTTCATTTATTAAAATATTTAATTATTCTGCTGTTGTTGTGAAATTTCACTAATATTGCTATCTACTACTGAATTTGTGTTATTGTTACAACACATTCCCAGTAAGGTCAATAAGTAGCAAACTAACGGTCTTCACTTTATCTCCTGGTCAGTGAGAGACCACCTGCCCTTTCTCCCCCCATTTCCTTTAGCCACATGCATTTCCCAATCCTCCTGCTTGAGCGACTGCAGTGCTGACTCTGAGCACGTGTGTTCACTGCATAAGATGAGTTGGCAGAGTAACTGGTGACGATGGCTTACGGAAAGAGTGCTCTGCAGGAACAGTCAGTAGAGCTGCTGGCAGCCTGTGATCTGTTCAAACACACACAGCTTGCTTTAGTTGTCTCTCCTGCAGTTGTAAAGTGTAAAAAGCCCCTTGCTGGGGGTTTGACGCACTAAACACCCCCACCCATTGCAGTAGTTAAAAGAGAGCCCTGATTTACCCCTGTGTGTAAACATTAACATACACAAAAAAAATCCCAGTCTCCCTGACCTGCATATGTTTTACATAAGAATGTGCTGTCTGAATTATGGGACTGCAATTATTTTTAGCTTTGGTATTCACAGAACGCATGTCAGTGTGAACTTTTATTTGTTCATTTTCAATCCAGGTCTGTGAAGATAATCGAAAATGTTGTCCAAGATGCAAAGCTCTAATAATATAGCCCAGGCCAGAAGGAACGTTCAACAGCTACGGATAGAAGCTAATGTAGAAAGAATAAAGGTAATTTCCCGCATTACACTTGGAAATCTACACTTTTTTCATGATGTTACTATCAAATACTGATTTAAAAGGGTTTTATCATGCTTTTTACATTTTTGACTTACTTTAGTGTGTAATTCTGTTGTTTGTAAATGGAAAAAAAACAGTTTAATGCACAACATACATGTCACAATATTCAGAAATTAAATCTTTTTATAAACTGCTTGTGTCCTTCTTTGAACAGGAAGCCACAAAAAAATTAAAATAAATAAAAAAAAGTTTCACCAATCTAATATGCTGCAATTTCCCATTCATTCATTCATTTCCCTTCGGCTTACTCGTTGATTTATTCAATTCAATTCACCTTATTTGTATAGTGCTTTTACGATGTAGATTGTTTCAAAGCAGCTTCACATAAAAGATCATAGTAAATTGAAACCATGTAGTTCAGTTTTCAGAGTTAGAGTTCAGTTTAGCTCAGTTCAGCCCAGCAGGCACACAACATCATAAGACGTTAATGTTAGGTTAGATTTAGATCATGTCAGGTGACCAAAATTCAATGTCTAGGCAGCTTCTAAGGACAATGTTACAACATATTACGTGGATATTTCGTTGATTTTAGGTTGTGTTGGAAAGTGACCAAAATACAACATCTGATAGATGTCATAGGGGTAACGTCCACACAACGTTAAGATGTAACATAAAACGTTGATATTTGGTTGATTTTAGGTTGGACTTTGGACATTGATGTTGGCCTGACTTTGGGTTCTGACATCAACCCGTTTTTGGTTTACAAACAAAATCCATTGTCCCCACGACATTGGGATACAACGTCAATATGACATCATGTTGACGTCCTGTGCCTGCAGGGAGGGGTGACCTCAGCGGAATGAACTGCTAACTATTCCAGCATATGTTTTAAACAACAAATGCCCTTCCAGCTGCAACCCAGTACTGGGAAACACCCATACACTCTCACATTCGCACACACACACACAGTCATACAATATGGCCAATTTAGTTCATCCATTTCACCTATAGCGCAAGTCTTTGGATGTGGTGGAAACCAGAGTACCCGGAGGAAACCCACGCGAACACAGAAAGAACATGCTTTATATTTCTCCATGGCCAATTCTTTTTCAAAAAAATTGTCAGATTCCGAACATATTAGAGAACTTTGGGAATGTGACGCAGAATATCTTGTTTTTTTTTCCTGTTGCGAGATTGCTTGTTTGCTCAGTTCTGCTTTCTTGTCAGTCTGTGCATCCTTATCCTTGTTTTTCACAACTGATACAAAAGAGAGCTTTAATAATCCAGGTTAAAGATGCCATCTTAAAGCTATTTAATTGCCCATTGTGTTTGTGTGAATATGTGTGTCAGTGTTTCCCAGTACTGGGTTGCAGCTGGAAGGGCATCTGCTGTTTAAAACATATGCCGGATAAGTTGGTGGTTCATTCGGCTGTGGCGATCCCAGATTACTAAAAGGGACTAAGCCGAAAAAAAAGAATGAATGAATTAATGAAACATTCTCTTTTTTATTTTAAATTAGAAGTCGTCCCCTAATAGGAATTTCTTTCTCCTTTTTTTTTAAATAACCCTCTACTGTGTAATAATTAGTATCTGAAAAATGTATGGTGTTTATAAAATGTCATATGCTGTAGTTTTGTACTCTTTTCTTTTCATATACAAAGATCAGTTGAATAATTTTTTATTAACTGTCTTTTTTTTTTGTCTATAAAAGTCATTCAATGTGTCATTATTATTAGTTAGGTTTGAACTGATAGTTAATCTAGATTTATACAAATCAATCAGATTTGTTGGTCACACTTTATTTTGATGGTCTGTTTGTTGAATTCAAGTAACATTGCATCGATATGCCTACTAATTCTCAAAAGATTATAGGTAGACTGTTAGGGTTGGGGTTAGGTTTAAGCTGGATTTATACTTTCGCCTGGCGCCACATCGCACACCTCCGCTGACTGCGCGCGCACCTTGCGAAACGGAACTACATCATATCATATCATTCAATATTTTTAAACTAATTATTTTTATTGTTATTGTTTTTAATTATTTTAATGATCATAAGGATTTTTAGAACCATTCAAGATTTTTTTTTAGCAAACTTTGACGCATCACTTGCTTTTGTTCATATCTCGGACAGTTTTACCTATTAAAGTTTATTAAAGTATTAATGACAAGAGAACATGAGTTGCTCTTCAAATATATTTTATTATGGCAAGAATAAAAGCAAAAAAAAAAAAAAACTAAAAATTTACCACAGTTCACACATTACTATCTGGCTAGTTTTTGTCCTATACTTATGCTAAAAAGGCAATAATGATCTAACATTCCTTACCATTATAACCAATAAAGTCTAGAAAAACAGGCCATCCGTATAACGTAGTTATTCCTTCCCAGTTATCAAAGAAATAATTCTGGGACTTCATTATAGTTTTGTAACTATTAAATTGTTTTAATTTTAAAATTGTTATATACACATTAGTATAAAACCTTTAACTGGTGGAAAAACATATTCTATAATTCAGGTTTTTTCAAACCTTTTAACAAAAACTTTCTCCTTTCCCACGGCTGTTGCAATTTATAGGCAAGAATTATTGATCATTAGGTTATCTCTATGATCATGGATCCTAAAGATATGTGTACAGGCGTACACAAATCAAACACGCCGCGAATCATGTCGCCTGCACCCAAAGTTTGAACAGCCGCAAACTCCGTGATGACGTCACATTCGCCACTAGCACTCAAGCGAACAAGCGAACACGTTGAGTATAAACCAGGCTTTAGGGTTAGTGTAAATTGACATGTACTTGCAAAGTTTCTTATAGTCAGTTAAATGTCTATTTAGCAGCAGTATCAACAGATATTAAGCAGTCAGTCTACTAATACTCAAATGGGCCATCTTAGTCATCATAGGCATAAAACCATTCGCATATAAACTGTGTACATATTCTCCATTTTACATCTTGCGTAATAACAAAAACCACAGAACTGACAAAATTTGAATTTCAACTTTCCGTCAAATGACTAATTGATAGCTGATGTTTTTTGGTCTCTTCTTTGCAGGTTTCTAAAGCATCTGCAGACCTCATGCATTACTGCAGTGAACATGCCAAGTATGATCCTCTACTCATGGGCATCCCAGCTTCAGAAAACCCTTTCAAAGATAAAAAGCCGTGCACTATATTGTGAGAGCTTTTACTCTTGATGTGTCTTTTTAATGTTGCCTTTTATTGTTGTTGTTTTTTTTTTCCAAGCGTTCATCTTCAAACGTTCATTACAATCACTGTTTGCCTTAAAAAGACCTAAACCTCAAGCCATTTTTCAATTGTATCCACAAAAGTACTGACTAGAAATGTTCCTGCCATCTGAAAAGGAGAGCCAAAGCACGTAGTAAACAAAACCATTTGTTGTGCAGAGACAAAACCAGCCCATGAATGAATCCGTAGCTTTAGGGCAGAGCACAGATGAGTTGTTTGCTTTGTGATTGTGTCCACTGATGTGGTTGTGTCTTCTGCAAATAAAGGGTGAGGTCAGAGTGGGCGTTTTTACCACGAAGCACAGGAAATGATATTTTTTTAATGACTGCTCTCTGTAATGTATATCTGCAGATAAGCAGAGCCTCATCAGCAGAGCTTCGACTGTGTCTGATGTGTTTAAAGGCAGGCAGTCACAGCGAGGCATTGTTGGAGGCTGATGAACGGGGTGAAATGTCGCCATCATGAATGTGTGTAGGGTGCTTGTGCTCAGTGGAGGAGGAAACAGGTGTTTTCAGAGGCGTCACATTGACGCAATGCTGCTCTGGCCCTCCCTCATTAACTCACTGTGGATGAACAATAGAGTGATATAAAGCTAACCCCTTCTGTCAAATCACTACGCACAAGATCATGACCATGTCTTTCTCTCACAGTAAACCAGCTGAACTGTGTCAAAAGGTCAATTACTGTCACATCTTGCAGATCAGCATTTTTAGAGTTTTAAAGTAGCCAAACAAATTTTAGATTTTAGATTTTATTTTGAAGTTTTTAGAGAGCTTCCTTTCTTCAGTGAAACATTAAATATGTTTTATTTTGTTTTACTTTTAAACTGTTGTCTTTGGTGATTGATAAAATGCAAATCATCTACTGGTATTTTGACACATACAAGCAATACCCATGACTCCTTTTGGTACAAGTCTTATGTCTTTGTGAGAAATTGAACATTATTTAAACATTATTTTCTGTATAGGAATCTATAGCCTCTGCAAATGGTCCTGAGCATTTTCACGAGTTGGAGTGAACTGCAATGAACTATTTAGGCTGTGCAGGTAATAGTGTATTAAATCATGTTTATTTTCTTGGACAAACCAATTATTTAGCTTAAGAGGTCAATGTACTGTATCATCAAGAACCACAGGTAATTTTGTTATATAACAGTTTTGTCTGGTTCTTGAATCTAATTGGCTGATAGCTGTGCAATATTCTGCAAATAACAGCACTCGTCCAGCCCCTTCACCCTTGTGTATTACTCCGCCCACATACAGCGAAAAATAGAGGACAATTCACAGTTTGACAAATGTTGCTGCTGTTGGACAATATAATGTACTTTTGAGGCTTTTTTTTTTAGTTTGTGATAACTCTATCTACCGATTGCAACACAGAAATACTGGGAAATCCCTGTATATATATACATGTTTAAAAAAAAGTCCAAAAACAGTCATTGGCTATGTCAAAAATTGTCTACTACTCAGCAGGTACTGCATTTGAATTCAAATGGGGTTTCAAATGAATCGACTCTTTAAATCCGAACAAATGAATCGTCCAGCGATCATTCTAACGGTCAGTTGACTAGGTGTAGACAGAAACTACACCTAACACAAACACACATTCATACGGGTTGTAGAAAAAGATTAAAGGTAAAAAAATAAGAGTTTAAAAGAGTGTACTGATGCAAAAACCAAACCCAGCGAACTAAAAATAATCAATTTAACCCTTGTATTGGTTCTTTAGAGTTAAATTTAATTTACACCAGTTCAGTGGTAATCTGGAGGCGTTCCTTTTGCGATGTGAAGGACTCTCTCTGTTGAGCGGGGGTTCCCACGTGGTTAGCTGGTGGTCGACTTTTTGTCCTGTGAGGCTTGGAGTGGGGTGGAGTCTATCGTTTCATGTTTTGAAATGGCAAAAGGACTACTCATGTTGACCTCTGGTTTTGCTGCGTACTAGACTCTCGTAAATATAAAATGGCGGGATTCCCTTTCTTTTTCATTAAAGGTGCTGTCTCCCCTACAAATGCAATCCTCAAAACAGTCATATAACGGTGCATGACTGTCAGCTGACGTGCTCCATAGTGCTAAATAGCGGAGCAAAAGACTTTTTGGGTTTTTGGGTTTTAATATATACATAATATATATATATACATACATAATTAATAATAATAATATCTAAAGATGTCGATCTTGGTGTAGTTTTTTTCAAACACAATTATTTTTGTCCTAAATGAGCTTAAAAAATTAGAAAATCAATCAAATGCTTTCAATATAACGTTAGACGTGTGCATTTCTAAAGTGACACCTGTTATTTAATGTGATCAAACGAAAAAAAAAAAATCTAAATAAATAAGATGCATCTGTTACTCTAATCAGAATGTGTAAGTTATACAGTGAAAAAAAGCGGCTAATGAGATTTGATAGCTTGATTCTATTTCTTGATAATAGCTTTTAATTTTAATAAACCTGACTGTTTGCTAATTTATTGGCTGCTAATGTATACTATTTTTTTTTTCTTTTGTAAATAATAATAAAACATATTACTGACCATTAAACTGTTTATTTACAATGAAACTGCTATAATTGAACATATTTAGTAATTTGGGAATTTTTAAAAGATTTTTTAATCCCTTATTATGGTGGGCACATCCCTTATTTTCACATCCCAATGTTGACAGGTATGGTTTGAACTTTGTGGTGGGCAATTTAGGTAAACAAACGGTGTATAATGCTTCCTAAAGCACTCTTTCACATTTGAGACCAATGAGTCCTGGCATTGTCATATTTTACAATACAAAACAATAAAATAATCTTTTAATACAATTGTTGTTTGTTATTAAAATCATCTTTAATGTTCTACTGAAAAAAAGAAACATCATAAACTTGAGAAAGAGCAAATTAGGAGTTTAAAGCTACCGAGTTGTGTTTGTTTTGCCCCTTTCCTAATACCCCTATTCTTTAAATGTCCTCTTTCAGTAGATCAGATTTTACATTCTCAAAATGTCTGATTTTGCAGAATGATAGTTTGTTTCATGTATTCCCCTTTTATGACAAATACAGAACTTACATAAATACTTTATCGTAGATCAATGTACTTTAAATAACCCTTTAATGATTACTTACGAGATGCTTTATGTTAATGTTCACATTTCGTTGGATGCTTTGTTTTGGAAATGGTCTCTTTTTATAACATTGTGCCATCTTATTCTCTGAACTAATATACGCAGGGTTGCATTTGATTTTGTCAGTAAATATACACTGAGCACATGCTGTTTTCTCTTATTGTAGGGATTTTTGTGACTGTTAAGATGTATTTTGGCTTCATTCCATGTTTACAACTTCTGCACTGTAAAAAAAAAGAAAATATGTAAAAGAAACAATGACAATGAATAGCTTTTTATGTTGCTTTAACTTATTTTCAAAAATTGATCAGGTTTTAACAACATTTTTTTAAGTTAAACAAAATTTTGCTTAATATTTTTTTGTCAATTTGATTAATGTGGAGACTTTACAGACCTGAAACTTGCCTATAGCACTTATTCATTGTTGCTCTTGGTTGTGTAAATTGCTTCCTTGTCCTCATTTGTAAGTCGCTTTGGATAAAAGTGTCTGCTAAATGACTAAATGTAAATGTAAATGTAATGTAAGACTCAATAATAAAAATTTAAGGCAGCAAGACAATGTGAATTTCCATGAGTTTAATGAAAATGAGTGACACAAAATAAGTACACAGACCAGCTGAACCAGCCTTAGGGTAGTATTGCTTTGTCTTGTCCACTTGAGTTCAACTACTGTGAACCAGACACATTCACTGTGTCTTCATCTTTGGACTTTTTTTTAAAATTTTTTTTATTGGCTGATCCAAGACTGTTTGCAACTGAACTTGTACATGCATCAAGATTTTCTAATACCGCATTATTTGAACACCAGTTTGCTGTGAATGACATTTTCACCCTTGCTTTCTTGTTGAGTTTTGCATTTAAAGTGACAGATCTGTGATGTTTCCCAACAGTAATGTTGTCACAGTGTTTCTGTGGTCATTTCTGAAGGTGCAGTTGTGTTGTAAATATGTCAACACTAGCTCTTCAGTCTGCCTTCTTACCTCTTTATGCCTTTATAAATATTTTTTTATATATAAAGATCATTCATTGTCATCATTTTTTAGTGAATTCCTGTCTGTGCAAAATTCCAGAGCTGGATCCCAAAACATTGGGTTGTATTTTTATTTATGTATTTTTTTCAATTAAATACAGTTTTATTCTCAATCGTTTTGTCTTGTATGTTCTTTCCTGAATCCAGATTTAAATTTGCATTATTTTACTATATACAAACACAAACAATAGCAATTCTATTTTGTATTATATTTATAATGATTGAGTTTATTCAGAAGCAGAGTAAAATACCAAAGTAATCCATTGATATTATTTGATTTTTTCATAATCATTCTAAAAAAAATTTTATTTGTGGTTGAACAGAATTTTAGTAAATGGGCAGAAATATTTTAGAAATATAATGCCTTCTGCGAATGGTTTAGAGATTGTCATTTCAATTGTAATGTAAACCTAATGTAACCTATATATATATATCTCTTTTTTTATTGTTAAGCTACAAAAAAGCTATTTGAAATTAAATGTAAATGATCTAAATTAACCAGATTTAGTTTAAAATGTACACACAACAGAGAGGACAATGCAGAGACTCTGATGAGCGAATCAAGGCAAAGGCAGATTCTGCTTGACTAGTGTATTAAGTATTGAACTCCACTGTGTTATAAATGCCATTTTTTATGTTTCTATCCAATTCAAGAGTTCAGACTTAGCTGATGATTATTATTATATTATTACATTTTTGGACTGCGGGAGGAAACTGGAGAACCCGGGGAAAACCCACGTGAGCACAGGGAGAATGAGCAAACTTCGCACAGAAATGCCATCTGGGTTAGTAAGGACTTTAACCAGAGAAATTCTTGCTGTGAGGCAGCAACAGTGCTAATCACTGGGCCACCTTGTCACCCATCTGGAAAGGAGGGGGGGTGGGGAAAGGGATTCTTCAAGATGAAGATATTGAGATAAGAAAACTGTGGTCAATTATAGTGAGTTAGGTATCATCTGATTGGAGAATCAATCAGTTGATGCGGGAGCAGCTGAGAACATAACATCATAAGAGATCATAAGCACGTGACCCTCTCTAAATTAGTTTATAAATAAACTTCACTAAGTTCTAATTAAAAAAGTCATACAACGTTATAGTTATTACGATTCAAAGTAATGCTTTCTATTTACATTTTTATATTATAAAATGAATTAGGAAATTACCTATGGCAACTTTAATGTAATACAGTTTGGTATATTTATCTTTGGCCCACAGCTATCAATAACATTTGGTTTTTGGCCCTTTACACATAAAAGCTTGGGCACCCCTTTTTTAGAGTTAACTGTTCCTAACCCAAGAAGCAATCACTGAAGCACAACAGCTAATAAAACTGCTGTGTTTGAGATAATATTTGTTTATGCGACACTGTAATATGGAGGGATGTATGTATATAAACATCAGACTTCACAGGTTTATTTATGAAGGGTATTGCCATGGTATACTGCCACGCATTGCACATATGCAAACATCAGGTGTTATATCAACCCCCAAAAAAATGCTGCCATGAAAGGTTCTGTGTATGTCTAACATACTAAAGTTCTTCACTTTCTGGATTTGCACGTTGACATGATCATAATGTGAATATGAACATGATTAGACACATTGAAATTTCACACATTTAATTTTAGGACGTTTGCCTTCCACACACACTTTTATAGCTTGTTGGTGTGCTCAAAATCACATACTGTGTAGATTTGAATTTAAATATTGTATTTGAATTAGTGTACATCAACGTCATGATCAATGTTTTAAAATTGTAAATATAACCTATCAGTCTCATTTGTATCACTGCACTTTATTCATAGAGCAGTAAACTGTCTATTACTGATGGCCAATTTATACTTTTATCCGAAGTGCATACAGTGTACTCTCTGCTAAACCCTGACACCACGACAGTCATGAGGCAGAAATCAGGTTTAAAGACCCTGTGAAATCAAAAAGGTTTTTTAGATGTTATTAACAGAATGTTAGTATATTTATAAGATTTTGTACTCCAGTACAATGACAAAATTTGAATTTAAAAGATGTGCACATCCAAAGCTTGCAGTTTGTCCCTTCTGCCAAAATAGATCAACAACGTCATATTTCAGTTTCTCATCAAATCTTCTGACCAATCAAATATGATTGTCTCATCCCCATCAATATGCTTTTAGTTTGATGTGCTTGAGCCTGTCCAAATACCCAGCTGCTACACTTATTTGGCTAAAGAAGTGGCTCAATGGTTAGCACTGTTGCCTTCCAGCAAGAAAGTCCCTGGTTCGAGTCTTGGCTGGCTCCGTTGGCACTTTGTGTGGAGTTTACTGTACATGTTCTCCCCATATTCACGTGGGTTTCCTCTTGGTGCTCTGGTTTCCCCCAGTCAAAAGACCTGTGCTATGGGTTAATTGGATGAAATAAACTGGCTTTAGTGGCTTTCCCAGTACTGGGTTGCAGCTGGAAGGCCATCTGCTGCATAAATCTTGGTTAAAGTCAGAATTATTAGCCCTCCTGAATTATTAGCCCCCTATTTATTTTTTCCGTTTTCTGTTTAACAGAGAGCAGATTTTTTCAACACATTTCTAAACATAGTAGTTTTAATAACTCATTTCTGATCACTGATTTTTTTTTTCTTTGCTGAATTGATGACCACAGTAAATAATATTTTACAAGAAACTTCTATACAACTTAAAGCGACAAATTTAAGGCTTAACTAGGTTAATTAGGTTAACTCGGCAGGTTAGTGTAATTTGGCATGTTATTGTACAATGATGGTTTGTTCTGTAGACTATCAGAAAAAAATAGCCTGAAGGGGCTAATAATTTTGTCCTTAAAATGGTTAAAAACTGCTTTTATTCTAGCCATAATAAAACAAATAGGACGGAAGAAAAAATATTATCAGACATACTGTGAAGTTTTTTTGCTCTGTTAAACATCATTTGGGAAATATTTAAAAAAGAAAAAAAAATGCATAGGGGGGCTAATAATTCTGACTTTAACTGTATGTCTGAATAGTTGGCAGTTCAGACCCCTGTTAAATAAAGTACTAAGCTGTAGGAAAAGGTGCCTTTTCAAAAGAACACTTTTGTACTTTTTAGCTACTTATATATGCATTTAGGTATTCATTTGTATTCATTTCATTTTAAGATACCAATGTAGACCATTTCATTAAAAACGTGAACCTTTTGCAAAAGGTACAGCCTCAGATGTTTTCCTAAGTTCAGCAAACTCATTGACATGGTCATGTTAGCATAATAAACGTTCATAC